GCTGAAAACGCGGAGTGCTGCTCCGTCAGTGTGTCAGCCTGATGCCAGGGTGGGCTGCTAGTGAAAGCACGAGTGCCTCAGAGCTCTGAGAGCTGGAGTGGGACAGAAAGTATTCCTAACTGTTAATTTCTGAATTTAAGACGCCACTCTTGGCCAAAAAGCTGGTGCCTGGCTCTAAGACTGAAAAAAAGAGACATTAATAAGACCAAGAAAGAAAAAATCATTACCTTTTCGTTCCCCCACGATGATCAGAGTGTTTTCTGTGTTTGAAGAACCTTACACGTTTTTAGGAGAGTTGAACAGGGTTTGCAGTGCCGCTGGAGCTGCCAAGCACGATTTAACCTGGCTGAGCTGGAAGAAACTTTTCTGTCTTGATGATAAAAACGTAACCTTAGGACATCACGAAAACCTCTCATTGACATGTTAGACAACATACTGGGTCACTGCAAAAACACATGCAGAGGTAATACTAAGCATGTACTCATCTTAAAAGTAACAGGAAATAATTATTCTGACCCTGTGATATGTGTTAACATGTCATATACAATTATAGTGGGAATGTGTGTGTGGAGAAAAAAAAAAAGTAGGTTTTGCTTTTTTGAGATCAGTGTGGGAGAGAATCTGGTTATATTAAGGAGACCTTTGCCTTGACTTCTTAGAGTAGCTTAAATGGAAGTATTCAGTGTTGCAGAAGAGAGAAGAGGTATTTTTAGAAAGAAAAAAAGTAGTGTTTTATAGGAGACTTTGCTATTTAGTGGCCAGTAGTCCTGTCTGCGAGTGCTCTGGAGTCTGAGCAAGCACTGTTCTGCGTGCGCCGGGAAAGTGTCAGAGATTGAAACACAGTGGGACAAATGTTACGTGCTAGTGCCTTGACTTTCCTTGCTGAGTCTGCTCAGCAAAGTATTGTTTCAATTACGTTCTTCATAAAGTTTGCACAATTTCTACCTTTCTGTGGTGTTAAAGGTGGATATAATTTTTCACTTCAGGTATTTCGGGTTACTTGCAGAGATTGGCCACGCCACAGTGATACAGGTCTACTGCTCCTCATGCTGTGTTGTGATTTTGTATGATTGCCTTGTGTCAAATACCACGCTGTCACCCAGTGCAGCATGGCACTAATGCTAGAAATGTTTACAGCTGTTCATAATTTTTGTCACTAAAGTTACAAGTTAGTTTTGCATGTAAGGTTTGCAAGTATTTTAATTTTGCTGCTCCTCAGCACAAAATGAAACCGGCGTGTTTGTCCCTCTGTGCTAACTACTGCAAGCGTTGGCAGCGTGCTGCAAGTGTAATCCTGCCTCTGGTCTGGCCTGGGAGAATAGTGCTATTGTCATAGTCACATTAAGGATAGTATCAGTATGTTACATAAGTGGTCCTTGTAAGCATACACAAGGGGAGAAATAGAGGCCTACACAGTTTTTCTTTTTAACACCACGTAGTCATTATCAAAAAATTGTTTGCTGAGTGCTGTTATTAAAAGTAACTTAAAATGTATTTACAGGTCTTTTCAAACACATATTTCCTTTCTGTCCTTCAGAGTATCTGCTGACTAGTATCAAAGACTTAATTGCTGTTTATTTCTGCTAGTCCTCAGGTCAGCAGAGTTGAGGAAATGGTCAGTGTTTTCTTCTTGTAAAGGAAGTATCAATGAATTGTGTACTTGGAGACTGCTAAATGCAATGGGATGACACGGGTATTGTTGAGGGTCTAATTAGGTTCAGAACAGACTGAGTTTATAGTACTGGAGTAAGAGAAAGACAGAAAAACCATACTTTTAAAACTTACTCATTCAATGAGGTATCCTTAAAAAGGAGTATTGGTGACCTTTTCTATTAGTCTACATTGAAAGTGTAAAGAACACTTTCTGTTTGGACTAAATCCATTCTTCTTAATGAAAATATCATATTTTACTTTGATATTGAATCGCCTTCTCTACTTCTATCTGCAAAGCTTGCATGGCATTGTTTTAACAGGCCATGGCATTCCTTTGTTTCTAATACAAACCGTGTAGTTTTTTCTTTCTTTTTTCTTCCCCCCCCATTCTAAAGTACCGAAGTCTAGGGGGAGCCAGGGGTTAACTGTTCTTTAATGAGTAAACTGTGGAAAACAAAGTTAATAATTATACTGCTGTGGCTGCTGTGTTTCTGACATATGCCTATGGGTTACATGTTTCTCTTGCACATTCCAGTCATTTTGACAATGCCACCCAATATTTATGTTTAAAAATACATTCTGAAAGTAATTGGCTGAAGTACCAGCTCTTACTTCTTTTTTTTATAGTTCTTGATTAACAGGACACATTTTCTCCAGTCAGGGAATGATCTGTTACTCCACACGGAATGTCCTTTCTAGCTGTTTGTTTTCTGCCATGGTAGATATCCCGTGTTTGCCAAGTCGCTGTGGCAAAACTTAGTATAGTTACATAAAATGTGTAGGCCTGCCTCTCCGGTGTGACTGGTGATGTTAATTATCTCAGTTTCAGAATACCTGATTTGAAACACTTGAAAATGGAGTTTTCACAGTTTTAAAGCTGTGTGATTTATTTTTTTTTTTAATTGGGCTCTTTTTCTATTCTGTCCAAACTGGCAATTGTAATAGCAATTTTTATTACATAAACATATTTTCACAACAATTCTAACAAAGACTTTGGACCTTGAATTGTATTTATTCTTAATTGTCATTGAAGGAAAAGATCAGTGCTGTCAAATAGAGGAAACCTTCCTTCTAGATGACATTCAGGAACATTTTGCAGCCCTGTCAGTTAAAAAGTTTCATCCCCTGTGCTTACAAATGTGATAAGGTAATAATTTACTGGGGCTTATTTCAATGAAAGAAAATCACTGAAGGGAAGAGAAGGGGATCTTATCTTTTAAAATTGCTTAGTGATGTGTAGAAATTAATTCCTGGAATCTACAAGTTTTCTTCAGGTCACTTATTTATTATGCAGGCATGCTTTTTGCTTCACGAAGCTTCTGTTGCCTTGGCATTAGAAAATACCAACTGCAAACAGATTTGCTTTACAGATCCATCAAACATTCAGCCTTTGGGGTAAGTATTCCTTCAACTTCATAGATAAAAATACTTTGTTCAGTCCTTCAGAGACACGCTGATTTTGCAATGTTGCCAATATATATGTATTAGCTCTGTTTTCTTTATTTCTTGTTACATTCTGTATTTCTTGTTACATTGATCCAAACTTTTAATACGAAGAACAAATATGATAGTTGAATCGGTCAAATATTTAACTATGCTAGCATGACAGAATTTGGGAATTATTGCTTTGTATATCCTGGTCAGTTTTCAAAGTCACATCTAGCACATACCCGGCCAGAAAGATTGCCTAGTTGTTAGGGCACTAGAGCTTAAGATACAGGAGACAGGTTCAATCCCAGCCTTATCACAGGCTTTTGATAAGTCAATTAATTTCTTTGGATCTGAGTTTTCCTTCAATGAAATGAGAATACCCGTGCTTCTTGATGCTACAATAACAAAAGGTATGTAAGTACCTCAAACTTAATTTTGTACAGAATCTTCTCAATTTCCCAGCTTAACTGCTTGTAAGAGTGTGTAACCATTTTCAGTATTCCAGTTTTGTTGACAGAAGACAGAGCTTTGCAAGATGGCAGGAGGTTGGAGGTCACATTTTGCATTGCATATAGAACACTGGAATGTAAACTGTATTCCTAGGCCAGAACAGGAGTTCATCTAGGCAGCAACATGGGTCAAGCAAGGCACATGTCACATCCTTCAAAACGGATGTTCAGACTGTTACACTGGACAGTTGTAGCATATTTTGCCTATAAGAGAAGTTTCTTTTAGTGTGCAAGCCACTTTGAAGGTCAGCTTTTGCTTGAGTCAGTTTTTCATATGCCGTAAGTATTTGCACTCAACAGAGCCGGATATTCTCACTGAATGTGCTGAAATCTAATCCCGGTTGTTTTTTTTTAAATTTTCTTAAGATCTTGGCTTCAGTTGTAGCTTTTGATGTTGAATTGCACAATTTAATTATGCACCGTGTAAAAGTATTTGCTTCTATCATTATTAAACCAATTTAATCACAAGTTTCTTTGTATTAGGGAAAAAAATAAATCCGAGCAGCACCTGACTTTCTATCAGGTGCTTTCCCTGATAGAATGTGTTAGGGAAAGCAGGAGGTTAGAGTTAGAGCTTGATGAGGACATACCTTTCTGCTTAACACTGATCTTAAGCTCTTGGAAATCCTAGCCCTGCATCTAGAAACAGCTTGAAGGCTGTTATCAACTGATGACATAACTGGGCTGAATTCTCATGACATTCTGGAAGAAAGAATGCTGCTTAAGGTATCATTCTGAAATGCAGGTTCATTGGTTGGCTTTCTCAAAGTAGTAAGGTGGACCTAAACCCTGCTGTAAGCTGAATCTGTGTAAAACTGAAGACTAATATAGGTCCCAGTACTCTATTTTAAAACTAGTTTCAAAGCACAAGAAAAAAAATAAATAAGACGACTTGCATCATTGAATATTTAAACTTAAAATAGTATGAGAGTTTTAAGGGGAAGGCTTATTTTACTTGTCAATAGATTTTTAGCTAGGGAAGGTTACTTAATGTGGTTAAGGTAAATTTACATGAGAGTTATTTGTAAAAGTCCTGCAGTTGATAAGCCTTTAGCTTTTAGCAAATTGAAAAATTTCAAGAAGAGCTGGTCAATGGAACAAATTTACCCACGGCAGCATGATTCAAAGTTGAAACTTGGAGTGTAATGGTAACACAGACATTTTCTTCTGAGTATTGTAGCTAGAGTATGAGTTTTGAATCTTACAGAGAATAACAATAGTGGTAAAAGTCTGACTCAAAGAAACGGTAGTGCCTGGAGTACTGAGGGACTATGTACTTTTTTTTTCCATTATCAAGTTGGTTTACAAACATAGAAATGGGTTTGCACTACTTTTTTGGTTGCACATAGAAATAAATCTGTATTTTTCCCTAGCTTTTTTTTCTCTTTTTAGGTTAAAAGTATCACAACTCTCAGTAAGTTTTTCTCTGCCTTTACAGAGGGTACTCACTGAAAGTCTGTTCTAAAGCAGTTTTCCATGACCTTAATTGAAGGTCTGAATATACAGCAAAAACGTGTTCTAATGTGGTTTTGTTGCAAGTAAAAGCTTTAAAGTTTTAAAACTCTGAATGAAAATAGGAAATCTCTGCTATTTTCCTCTTACTCATCAATTTAACAAATAACATTACATAGAAAATGCACACTTTCCAAACTGGATTGAGCAGGAATTAGGCTAGAAATAACACAGTCTTTAAGTTGTTAGTGTGTCATAGAAAAGAAAAAGAATGTATGTACCCTTTTTTTTTTTCTTTTTAGGTCACCTTTTAAAGCTGTTGAGCTAAATTACGCCCCTGCTCCCTCCTTGCTGAAAGTTCAGTGACTTTAGATAATGATGAATGAGAATTTAGGACATTTTTCTCTATTTTCTTGTTAGTCTGAATTCAAGCTATTGTAGAAGCTTTAATGAAAGAACATGTCTATAATTTTGTGTAACTACTGAATTCAGCTGGCAGTGGTATATTTGAAAAAGCATGAAGGAGAGTTTGTCATGCAGAATCCAACAATATAGTACTTTGTCTTTCTTAACAAAACCCTTCTGTCTGTGTATTTTGATCTTGCAGACAATGGCCTTCAGGCACAAAAACACAAGACGAATTGAAGGCCTTGATAGCAATGTGTGGTAAGTAAAAGGAAAATTTGAGAAAATATCTTTGGCCAGTATATTTTCATTCCAAGTTGATAATTATTGCCAGTAAGAAGGTACTTTCTGCTGAAATATATTTGGTATCTGCTTAGAAACAATGAACCACATTCAGTTAAAGATGTGAATTAATTCTTATTCTTAAACTTTAAATATTAGACTTGGACTTTTCTTCTAGTTAATCAGATGAGACAAGTATAATTCTTAGGCATGGTAGTATACCTGACTTTCAAATTTGAATGCTTATTTTGTTGATTAATGCATTTCAATTACACTTGATTTGTGTTTACCAAATGAGTCAGATTTCTTTTTAATGCCATTATACCTGTGTTTATAATTTAGCTTATTATTTTTAATACACTTTTTTTCCAGGTATTAAATTGGTCTGAAAGCAATATTGCTATCACTGATAAATATTGAATGTTGTTACTTAGGGAAAAATCTATTTTGGGTTTACGTTACTTGTATGTATAATTGTGTGTGTATATATACCCAAGGTGTTCTGGTTATCCAGCCTCAAACCCATTTTTAGCAATTTTTATTCATTTTTGACAGACTGTGATGCTGTGTGTGGTAGGGTTTGTTTGTTTATTTATTTATTTTTCCTTGTTAACAACTGGGTAGTGAGGAAAAGATGAAATGCGAAGCTGACCTGTGAGGGGAGGAAAAAAAGATTGTTCATGAATCCTAACATTTGTGTCTGGCAGGCTACTAGGAACAGTTAATGAACAGTCTGAAACAGTCTGTTGCCCATAATCATAGAAAAAAGAAAATTCATCACTCTGAGGTGGCTGGACACCTTCACTTAACAGAATATAGCCTTTAAATCATTCAATATGCCTGTTCTAAGTAGCTCTACTTCATTTTGCAAAGAGGGTAGCGTTTCTCCCCATATCCAGGGTTGCTGTGTGTTTGTGTGTATCCACATCCAAGCACAGTTCTGCTGGCAGTAAAGTTATTCTGGGGATGCAGAAAGCCAGCCCCTTTATTGGGTTGACTCCTGTGGTTACTTACCGTTGTCTTGGCTCCCACCTCTCCATGTGAGCACTCTACTTAAACTGGTTTCCACTGCTGTGAATTTGGCAAAGTGAAATTTTTTTTTTTTGCTCTTTAATGGTGATGAAGGAAAAGATAACTTATCTGATATGTTAAGTTTAAGATTTTTTTTCTTCCCCCTTTAGGGTTGAATTTACAAAGGTGGCAGCAGATCCCTCAATTGTTAACCTTGGTCAAGGCCTTCCTGATATATCCCCTCCCAGCTATGTTAAAGAAGAGCTGACAAAGGCAGCAGCGGTTGACAGACTGAACCAGTACACACGAGGCTTTGTAAGTACTGTGGAACTTGAGGACCCAGGTTCAGTGGAGAACACGCCACAGGGAAAAAAATGACTTTGCTTGAAGTAAGTTTTATATGTAGGTTATGACCAACAGACCTATTAGGTCCCACATTAAGCTGATCTAGTAGCCTAATTTGTTACTAATTAATATCCTCTGTGTAGGTTTCTTCAAGGCAGAATCCTTCAGCAAGAGCATAATGGTAGAGCATACATGGGATAGATTGAAGACTCAATTCTCAGTTTAAAGAGTGAAAATTATATATTTAGCTCCAATTTTGGTCAGTGTAAACACGAATCAGATAGGATAACAGTAGGATGAAAAAAAAATATTTGATACCAAGTGAGACAGTGCCTTTAGCATCAATAAAGGATTCACCCATAACATTTAGTATATTTCAATGGAGATTAGGAAGTGATGAAAACTGTAAGTTTTTGTGCCTGGAAGGTAGTCACTATCCGTTCTGTAAGTTGATTTGTAGAGTTTGTCTTGAGCTGGTTGTGAGTGTGCGGTATTTATCATTGTCCAAGGCAGGATATTCAAGTGAACTATTACTGTTTCTATGACCACTTCCTTGTTCAGTTTGTCTTTCTTACATTTTTGTGGTAAAGATAAACCCTATTGCCCAATTGAGAACCACGTGTCATGATTGCTATTAGACCCTGAGGCGTGCGTCTAATATTTTTCTAGAAGACAATGTTATGCAACAGTGATAGAAAAACATTGTGTAGACTGGTAGGCCAGCAGTTGCTTTGGTAGTTGGGGTATCATTTTATATATATATATATATTCCAACACAATACATCATTTTATATATATATATATTCCAACACAACTTTTTGTCTATTCTCTGAGAACTGGCATGCATTAGGGCTGATGAGAGCAGCAGTGGCCCGCAGCTCCGTGAAGGACGAGCTATCACAGTGAGCAGGGTGGAGGCCTCACCAGCCAGGGCTTAGTCCCCCAGTTGCTGAGCAAGGCAGGCCCAGAGACGTGGCTGCGGTCAGCACAGTTCACTGGGCAAGCTTGTGGTGATGAGGTGAGCCTGTGGTCAAGCCAGGAAGTCAGTCCCTCGGTCAGGCCCGGCAATGCTAACCACGGTTGGACATAACCCAGTGGTCACTGTACAGGTCCAGGGTGACAGGACAGGTCTAAGGTCAAGCCACAGCATGAAGCTTACATGCAGGGGCCAGGTTCAAGAGGGTCTATGGCCAGGTACAGGCATGGCTGTAACTGAGTTGAAGACCAGCAACCCTACTGGGTAGCACCTTAATGGAGCCCTCGGACCAGGGGCACAGCTCTGGGTGGAGACCCCCAGTGACGCTGGTCAGGGCCTTTGAGGACTATTAGGGCACTCAGGGCCCTGAGGAGAACAGAAAACAAAAATCCACAGTAAATGTAGTCTCATTGCCATCCCTCTTTGTCTCATTTTGTTTAATCGCCTTTAGCTGTATGCAAAGAGGCTCTGCAAGTATGATATAGAAAAAAACCCCTCTTGCTATAGAAACTTGAAAGCACAAAGCGATTATTTAGTGTCAGAGACATGCCAAAGATGGCTGGGGTTTGGTGAACTGCTGGGCTAGGCATTAGTATGTTCATCACCCATTATAAGGTACCTGGAAAGTCTTTGCTCACCAGGCAGACAAGGTTTTGGAGGACCCTTGGCACAGGGGGAAAGGTTACAGAGAATGTGCTACAGTCTACCTTCCAGCAAATATTCAGAGACTGATTCTGTAAACCAGTTTGCAAATGAAGCATAAATACAATTTTCCCAATGCATGTAATTATTCAATATTTACTTCTTTCGCTTTGTTCTTTATTTCCAAATAGTTTGATAATTCCTGTGATTAACTGTGAATATTCACAGATACATTATACTGCAGAGAGTAATCAGTGACGGATTGTTACCAGTATTCCTGTCATCAGTCTTTGCACGTCTTCTGTGAACTTCTGCACTTCCAAGGTTTTTGAGCACAAAAACCTTGTTGTGGTAGCAGATCTGGGAGGGATGAGTACTTCCATCTGATAATTGAGACGTTGTCTCAGCTCCCTGCGGCGCTCGGACCTCTCGTTGACTGCAGGGCTGTGGTCTGTAGTGACCTAACGTCACTTGGGTGGTGCAGCATTCCTGTGTAGCTGATGCACTCGTGGCAAGAAATGGCTGTCATTTGAATCAGCAATGACTTGTAAGCCTTAATTTATGGGAATGTTTTTGTTTACAGAAGGGTTCATGATTTTATGCCTTGTGTGCAGAGGTACAACGTTCAATATTTTAGAGAAGGATTTTTGTTACATAGCTGCGTTTTCTCAAGGAGCTGTTTTCTATTTCTATCAAATACCCAAAAAGAAAAAACTGTTTTCACAGCAGGAAACCTATTGTCTTCCTCAGTAAACAGAATTGTGCCTTCTTATTTCTATGTTGCGTATGATCTTTGTTGTATGCTGGTTTTCTTGTTCTCCGCACATTTAGCGGAGAGTACGTTAACCTCCACATCTCTGTATGGGACACAGATGATGAATGCTGCTCTGAAATTTGGGATATGACAATATGAATCATCATTCTGATCACAAGTGCTGTTTGTCAGCAATATATAAACAGAATAAAGAGATTTCCTTTGCACTGAATGATTTTTAGTTGAAAGATAAGGAAAGAAACGCAAGGAGCTTCAGATGGATATACGGGCAGGTGGGAAAGAGACTTTAAAAGGGATGAGGGTGAATTCATGTCAGAGTATTCCCTTCTTGTCCTAGCACTGCAGTAGGCTATCTGGAGCTATCCTGAGATGTGATAATAAGATAGAAGTTGAAAAGCATCGGATATACAAAAAGAATTTCCTAGTAGACATGGATAAAAACCTTAAATGAAGCTTTCTGTTAACAGGCGTTAACACTGAGGGCTCATCTCACTTTTCTGTTTCAAAATACATGATTTGATGTATGTGGGAAAAACCCCAGGGACATTGTCAGGCTTCGCACACTGTCAGGAACACACCAATCAGTTGCATTTGTTTGCTTTAAACAGGGACATCCATCGCTGGTGAAAGTCCTATCTCAAGTGTACGAGAGAGTTTGTGGAAGAAAGATTGATCCTCTCACAGATATCCTGGTGACTGTAGGAGCTTATGGATCTCTCTTTAGTACAATACAGGCATTGATTGAAGAGGGAGATGAAGTAAGTTTTTATTTGAAATATTCACGTATCCTCACTGAAGAAATGAGCCTTTGCCTGGTTTTTATTTGTCCATGTTTAAATATAGGTTGATGTTGGGACTTTTTTCTGATCTCCATTAATTTGATTTGTTACAGTTGCACCTCTGACTTAGTTTTAGAAGTTGTGATCAGGAGACTGTACTTTGTATGTCTTCTTATAATTCACCAACTTACAAACCTCTTTCTTTTCATACTTACGATACCTGTAGCAGTTTCTTTATCACTGTTGCTGTTAGGTGACTCAGTGCACACCGACTTACTTGAGAAAACTTGTGGGCTGTTGTCAATAACAGAAGATTAAGGGTGGCACAAAGTGGTGGTGTTTCAATAAATTTTTGTGTGTCAAGTTCTGTTTTGGACCATTGCGTGGTAGCAGCATAGGTAGCAGAAAAGTTCTTTAAAGAAAGGATTGTTAATTTACTGTACTAGCTGTAGTTAGTAGTTCGTTAGTTAGTTAGTTCCTTCACTACAGATGTCTGCCTTTTTGACAATGATATTAAAATTCGTTGGTGGGGGGATGTTTGTTTGTATCTGTAGTGGACAGGAATTTGTTGGGTTGTCATGCACTTTGCTTTCAGTGTTTTGTTGGTTTTGCTTGTACAATGTGTTTTCATCTGTGTCTTCTTTTTCTGTTGCTCTCATTCACTTTTTTTTTTTGTAAGAGTTCTCCACTGTCAGCTTTTGAATGTGTGTGGTGGTGTTTTTTTGTGTTGTTGTGTTTTGTTGTTTGGGGTTTTTTTTAATTTTGTTTTCTGATTATCTAGCCTCTATGAAATTTTGCTTGAATTTGTCCTCTTTTTCTACCTGAAAATTTTCTTCCCATAAAATCTGGGGACTTAAGCCATTTGTCTGTGATTTTTAGATACTTGGAAATCCTGGAATTTCATGGACAGAATTAGGGCAGCTGTGCTGTGATTCAAAAATATGCTGCTATCTGCCATCTTTTCCTCTCACCTTCAGATCTCTGTGCAGGACCCAAACATTCCTAATATTATATTTTAATAGTTCTAATGTGTAACTGTAGAAGAATAGCCTGTGTGTGTTGTCAAAAATGAGTAGCGCTTATCATTAAACAGAGGGCGTTGCTATGTGCGTTTTAAAAGGAGGAATGTTCTGCAATGTTAGATGAGGATGGAGTGCCAGAAACATTATCAAGTTATACCACTTAAGTAAATCTAGAAATACGATGATATCTTGCGCAGTAAATTCTCTGTTTCTGATACTGACAATTGTAATTTCAGGTAATAATAATAGAGCCGTTTTATGACTGTTATGAACCAATGGTAAAGATGGCGGGTGCAAAGCCTGTTTTTATCCCACTGAGATACGTGAGTAGCTTTTAAAGAATTATTTGGCATATAAAAGTTCCCATCCATACTTAATGCAGTTTGATGAACACCTTTGAGGCGATGCTTTTCCGTATAGTTTTTCATACTATCCAATTACATTAAAATGAGATAGATTGCTATAGTGTAAGTCTGAGACAATAATAATCCAAAGCAGATAGAATATTTTATTGGTGCTGGAAAAGGTGGGACGATGTTTCTCATTTACTTTAATTTATGCTTTCTGAAATTCCTTTTTTGGATGTCATCAGAAAATGTGTTCAGGGCAAGTAAGGGAAGGAGGATCACGTATCAGTGCAATTTCTATATCTGCTGGCTTTCAGAAGATTTGGGTTTTGATCCCTTCTGCAACTCCTACAGTGACAGCATATAATTTCTTTCCAAAATCTGCTTACTAAATAAGGAGTGATCATGCAGTAGACATACTTGCTTTGCATACTAGAATTACGGTTTCCTTTATTGGTAAAAAGGAATAGTTTTGGTAAGGGATAATTTTCAAATTGGTGCTGCTGGAATTACGCTGGCACCTTGTGAGGATTGTTCTGGATCCAGATGCAAAGTGTTGATCCTGTTACTGTTGCCATGGGTGACTGGGAGCCTTGCATGGAGAGGGCTGAGGGGCTAACTTTAGGCAGGACCGTTGCATGAACACCATAAAATCAGAACAAGATGGAGTGACAAAACCCCCAGGACTGCAGTGGGGGTAGGTTAGACTGTTCCTCTGGGTGCCTTCCTTTTAGGGATGTTTTAAATGATGGGGCTTCTCCAAGTATTTTCTGTTTCACATCCTTGTTTTTGGTCTGGCCCTCTCCCAGTAAGGTGCAGCTGTCAGAAAGTGTGGTCATGCTCTTTGTTCTCTGCAGTAACTGGCCCAAACTTCTGTTGTCCTTGTGTAATCACACAGCAGCTCCGGAGCCTCACTGGTGCAGGTTTTTAACTCTTTGACTGTTTTCATATGGACAAGGAAGAGAAGACCGTGAATCTCTCCAGTGGTGATCAATCTTTCCAACCAAGCATGCACACGTTTGTTCTTGGGTCTGGGAAGGCTGTAAACTCTCCTGTCATGTGATCTGGCTTCCTGCATTACACACTGTTATAGTCAGCATGTATGTAACCAGATCCTGGAAAACCAGTTCCTGGGGAGGCTTTAAGACAGGCAATGGCCGGGAGAGGACAGCCACTGTCATAATAATTCAGCTTAGTCTTAATCTCCCTGCCTGTTCCTAGAACTGCCTTTTCCCAGGAGAGGACAGACTGAATAAGTTGTTAAGTATGGTTGTGAAAGTGTCTGAGGCTGGTAAGCTGGGCATCTCTGCTTACGCTGTAACATGCTGTATTCAAGTAAGACATAAATTTATTGGGTTTTTTGTTTTGTTTTCTGTAGAAGAATGATGGAGCCTCCGCATCTAGTGCTGATTGGGTTTTAGATCCCGCTGAACTTGCAAATAAATTTAATTCCAAAACAAAAGCGATTATTCTGAATACCCCGCACAACCCTATGGGGAAGGTAAAAGTCCTGCTTTAATACTACTGTCGTTTCAGAATATGCCTTAAATACTGTGATTAATGCATTGTCCCTTACTTTCTTGTATCCCAGGTGTTTACCAGAGAAGAGCTCCAGGTAATAGCTGATCTCTGTATCAAGCACGATACCCTGTGCATCAGTGATGAGGTGTATGAATGGCTGGTGTACAAAGGAAATAAACACATTAAAATAGGTACCAATTTTTTTGTGACATCTTAGAGGTGGTTGTGGAATGGTGTTGTAAATGTGCCTCTTGGAGATAATGGTTACTGGAAGGAGCTCAGACTTTAAACTTTGACTATTTTATAATCTTTAGATTCTAAAGAGGAGACCCCCTCCCTTTTCTGAAAAATATATTAAAAAAAAATTCCAAATTGAATTTCCAAGAGCTTCTAAGTGAATTCAGAGCATATGCCCACAGAAACCAGTGGGACTGATGCCCATAAATCAGTTATGATAATTTGAATATCCCATCCATATTCAGGTACTTCGTTGGCTATGACAAGCATAACTGCTGTTCACAGATGTGTATGGGACTGTTCTTTGCTGTAGAACTGATACAAGAACAGGGATTAAAACTTCCTTCTGAAAACATTGTAGAGGTAATCAATGAGGCAATGTGTAATGAGGAACACAATTATTTTTGCTCCACTACTTATAAAAAGAAAACAAGAAGTAGAAAGGTTAGTGCAGAGATAGTGCATGCCCACTGTCCCTCCAGAGTGCAGAGACAGTGTTAAATAATGGACATCAAATTCAGTGAAGCAAGCTGCTGCATGGCCAGTGTGAAAGCATGCTGAAGTCTTCAGGCAGTATTGCTGCAGGAATGAAGCACCATTGCAAGAGGAAGCCAGAAAACCAAATTTGATGTTATGTCCGTGTCCCTCTTGTTTTACTTCTGGATCCAAGTTTCACTGAAGTTAGTGGGATCACTCCCACTGTCTCGGAACAAATGAATCTAGTGCAGGTTACCAAGCTCCTTCCCCACTCCTATATTGCTACAGCTAGGCATTTATGTAAAAGTTTCTGGTGTGGTGGTCTTGGTTTGGATCTGCTGATGTATTTGAGCTGTCTAAAGCCCAAAACTTCCTCATTATATGTACAGACGTTGTGTTTCTGATGGTGGCATCTTGCATGAGCTATCTGTTATGATGTACTCTTGTTATAATGACGGCACATTTCAGTCGTGTGCAATAGAGACATCTGGGTGAGATTTGACACAAAATCAAGAGACATAAATATAACTTAAACATGAAAAAGCTTAGCTTTTCTTCTGGCTTCACCACTGGTTGAAAGCTGAGTAAGTCTTCATGCTTCAATTCCATATCTGTAGAGTGGCAATAAAAGCAGCTTTCCATGAGTGGAGGCTACATCATTGTAAAAATGAATCTAAGTTATAATTTCCTTTTTATTATTTATAACTGACCTTGCAATGCTTAATAGCTCAGCTACACAGTTGCTGATCGTACAGCTGCAGCACATGGGTTGTGTAGGCCAGGCATAGGCTGTGAATCTGTTTTGAAAGTGGCCTTACTTTGACTGCTGTGGTGCTTTGATAGTGCTACTTCCTCAAAGACCTTCAAACATGGAAGAAGGGGAAGAGTTTGGGTACATTCATGTGATAGTAATCTGAGTCAGTGCATCCTAACAAGTCACCACAGTAATTGATCATGTGTGGCTCATGTCCCAGTTGCACAGTAGAATGAGTTAAAGCTTTCTTCCTGGACTTAGCAGGTGGTTCTTGCAAACAGCCATCCTCAGAACCAAAATCTCTGTGGGTGATGTGAAGTAATCCATTTTTCTTTGCAATGGCAGCAGGTCTGAACACTCATGTTGTTGTCTTCATGGACAGGTGGCAAATTCTTAAGACACAGTAACTCTGTTGTACGTTAGTTACCATTTTAATGCTTCAAACCAAAACATTTCCAGTTGAACAAAAGACATTCTGTAGTTTAGCATAAAATGTAAAAATACTGTGCAGTGGTAATGGAAGTTAAAGCCTGGACAGCTAGTCAGCTAGATTTAGGTACGTGTTCTCTAAGAGATCCTATGATATCATCTTTAACTTCAGTGTTAAAATAACTATAAAACCTTCAGTGTAACACTGTGAACAATAACGTTACTTCAGAAAAAGAAACAGCATCTGCTCTTTTTAACTTAATTTTCTTAGAATTTTTAAGTCTACGAAAGATAATACAAGGAAAAAAAAAAAGAATGTGGTACTTTTTTAGAACTCTTGTGTTTCCATATTAACCTCCATATTCCATCAAATGTAATGACACTTTTGTGAGAGATGCACCATGGGTATTGCACAAATTTACAGGGTCCGATGATGGTTCCTTAATACAAATTAGCAGGGTTTGCCAGCCACAGATCATAAAATAAATAGAGTCTTTGTGCTGTCACTGAAGCAGTTTTCTGTAGTGTAGAGCACTTCTTGTTTCTCGTCATTATCTGACTTTGTAAAACCGTAGGCCTCCTCTAAGTAATGATTAGGATGGCACTGGCAGACTGAGAGTTCGCATCTCATAACTGAGGATTCTGAACAAGCCTCTCGAGCTGGGTGCCAGTCCCAGGTAACAGGCGTATTGTGTGTGTGTGTTTGCACTTCGTTAGTTTTTAAATTTTAGTCAGCCTTGGTTATGGGGTCATATGGCACAGAGGAATTTCCCGCTCTATTTAAAACTTGCTGCTTGTAAAAGCAGTGAAGCTGCTTCTTCCCCTGTGCCCTTTTGCTGCTGCTGTTCTTTGAGATGCTGTTACATTCATCTCCAAGGTTGAATTCCTGTGACTATGTGGCAGAACAGCCCTGCTAGAGGGAATTAGCTTTGAAATTCAATTCTTTCTGCAATGTGTGAGAGCTGGTTTGGTTGCCTGTAGGAAGTGATCTACACTCTTGACCTAGCTAGCTAGAAGATGCATCTGTTCAAACTGCCTTTTTGTTTTCAAGGTCACAGAGCAGTTGAGTGAATATGGATGGACTAGTAGGAATATGAATTTCTCTCCTGCTGTTCTGTTTCTCTTCATGGCAAATATGCTCAAAAACATACGTGTTTTCAAATAACTGCAAAGAGTTATACCAGGTCTAGTGCAGACAGCTGCTGCAAAAACTTCCTTATGAAATTCTGTGGGTTTATTTGGAAAAATCTTTGTTCATTGGTCTCCCTAGAGAGGGGATTTAACAGTCAACAGATTCATTGGTAGTGGTTCTACTGTACAAATGAGGTGGAGCCGGATGTTGTTGACCACTGCAATTGCAGTCGTGGTATGACCTTGTCTAACTTGTGACTCAGACTTCAGTGTGTCTTGATTTATCTGTTTCTGTTGAAAATTAATTAAGTTAAAAAGTCCAAATAGAGATCCTCTGAAGCAATGTACAGAATCACATTTGCAAACTACAGAAAGAGGCCTTTGCTCTGTCATCTCCTTGAAAAGGAAACAAAGGATTTTGATCTCCTACCAGATACAAATAGAGAGACAGAGATGAGGTCTCCATGTGTCCCTTAATACTTGCAGACATCATTAGCTAGCTGCTATTGTCGGTCAGGCCCAGGCCTGTTCAAATTATATAACAAAGTGTAACTTATTTACTCACTCTACTGGTTTTCTGATTCTTGTGTTCAGTTCCAGGTTAGAAGTCTTAGTAATTCTTTTCTTTTGTGATTTCTGAGACAGCCAGTGACACTGAACTGGACAATTCTGTTAAAATGGCTTGCAGTGCCTGAGTTAATGTTGTATATGGTGCTGTGATCAGGCATCAGAAATAGTGCTGTGTTGAGATGAATGGATAGGCACTTGTTAGATCATATATTTCTTATGAATAATTATGCATTTTAGCTGAGGATAACTAATATGTAGTTTTCACAAACTGGGCCTCTCATTTTCTGCCTCTTCTTTCTCTTTTCATTAATCCTTACCTTCTTTGCATGCCGAAAAACATTGGCCCATATATCCTTTCTCATTTGTTACAGTTGCTATAATTTTTGGATATTCTCATTGCTAACTTAATATGCTGCAATGATATATCAACACTGAGCTCTGAGCTAGCGGCAGTACAGCTTTTCTGACTACATGGAATATGTGAATGCACCTGTACCCAATTAATTTTATTTTATATACAGCTACGTTGCCAGGTATGTGGGAAAGAACAGTAACTATAGGAAGTGCTGGAAAAACATATAGTGTAACTGGCTGGAAGGTAAGAAGCATCAATATAAGAGTTCAGTTATATAAATAACAGAATGCATTTATGACACTAAAAAGTCTCAATTTTTATGGCCTGTATTTTGAAAGCATCTGGCAAACCTCTGTCTATAAAATGTGAAGACAGGTGTAATTGCTCCAACTGTATGCTATCTCGAACACTTATGATTTAATTCTCTTCTTGTCTATCAATAAGCTCTTTGAGAAAAACAGTATTTAAAAAAATAAACACACTATGATTTGTTCAAAACCCATCAAGATTGTTGGAGAAAACATGGACATTGTCATATTTTAACTTTTGTGGTGATAATTTTAGGGTGTCATAATACGTTTTGGACTGGCTTATTTCTGTAAAATATTTAATGATAATATTTTGCTTTACTTTAAAATACATAGAATCATAGAATGGTTTCAGAACATAACAGAAAGTAAACAAAAACGTTTAACCATTTGGCAACTAAACTCTTCATCACCTGGTTCCAAACTGAACCATGACATACATAATTCAGTAGTGAGCTTTTGTTTTCTGCTCAAACCACCTCTGATACAGGAGATTGAGATGGAAAGTTTCTAAACCAACTAGGAATAACATTCCTAATAAATGCTCAGTTGGATTTCTAATGCTTGTTATATGAAAAATTAAAAGTCTGCTCAGTACCCTGTGAGAGACAGGGACAAGTGAAACTGTAATTGTTGTCTCAAATCTAGTATTTTTTAATGGCATCATTCAGCAAACTTTGTGTAAACCAGCTCTTTTCTGACTTCTTTAGCAAAACAAGTTCACGACCAATTCTTAAAATAGGAAAATCTTGAGACATTGGCTAATTTTAATAATGTGTAAACTTTTAGTAACGAAACTGCTTTAAGTATAACATATACGTGCTTTTTTCTTCCCTTAGCTTGGTTGGTCTATTGGCCCTCAGAACCTGATTAAGCATTTGCAAGTTGTTCACCAAAATACACTGTATACTTGCCCAACCCCATTACAGGTAGGTACAAACAGGGCAGATGGGGTTATTTTCTGGTACAGCAAAACTGTAGGCCTCACTGTAATAATAATCACAAGAATGAATTTTTATTTTTTTAGGTCTTGTTTTACTGAGCATTATCTCTGTCTGCTAGTATTGCCAGTATTCTATGATACGTTATTGTCAGTAATTTAAAATTAGCTTCAATTCAGATTGTGAACCCTTGTGTCAAGGACTGTGACTTCTGTATATGACTAGTGGCTAGCAGATGACTGGGTGCTTTGGGTGTTGCCACAGCACAAAGTAACAAACAAATGACACCCTTGCACGCAGTTTGTGTAATCTGTATATGCTAATCTGCTTAATAAGGGCCAGAACTGAAGTGAAATCCGTGTGATTTCAGTAGGAAGCGTATGTGTTGGTGAGTTTACTGAGTGTCCCTGACTACTTTGATTATATTTCCAGGAGGCTCTAGCACAAGCATTTTGGATAGACTATAAACGCATGGATGACCCAGACTGCTATTTTTACTCCCTGTCTCGAGAGCTGGAAAGCAAGCGTGATCGAATGGCTCAGCTACTTCAAGAAGCTGGACTAAAGCCTGTCATTCCAGATGGAGGATACTTTATGATTGTTGATGTTTCTACATTAAGTTAGTAAAAGGTTTATTAAAAAGGGTGTGGAAAGCAAGTATTATAGCTAATCTGAAAATGCAACTTTCATTTTAAACTATATTCTCATCTCATGTTTGCACAACGCTGTCAGAAATCTAACTAGGACTGAAATTTTCTGTTTGACCTTAGACTGGGAGGTAGATTTTATAAGCTTTAGCAAAGCTTTTGTTTGTAATCCTAACTACTGTCTGTGTTTTGCAAAGCTTTGGCAAATTTTCAGGGAGGATAAAGGAGGTGGATAAAAATTTCTGCTTTCAAAAGATCTGCAATTATGAAAACATTTGGGAGCCAAGCACTTGGCTGTATATTCTGAGTTTGTACCCATTTGTACTTCCCCCTCTCCTCCCCCTTTTGTTTTTTTGTTTTGTTTTTCTTAATCTGAAGTCATACCCTGAAGGCTCTTAGAGGCATTCTGATTTCTAAAATAATATAAAATGCTACCAAAATTTTCAAAAGTTTTTGGAAATTCAGGTTATGGTGATGCTGGAGGAAGAATTCCCACAGGGGAGCATTTTCCAGTTCCACGTTTTTCTCAAACAGGGCCTAATGGCACTTGTCATTCACACGTAAATGTTTAAACACAGCTGGACCTTGCAGTGCTACCATGTGTCAAAGTTTTAGATATCCCAGTTTCACAGATGAGAAAACTGCAGTTGCAGTGGTTATTACTGTCCGTGCAATACACACTCTTCAGTACCCTCCACAGTCCCGATCCCTCAATAACCCAGACTTGAGGACTTCTTGAAGTACAGCATGGCTTTCTTCTAAGCTACATGTCTGAATTTGCTTTGAATGGAAAGCAGGTGCTCGGGTCAGAATGGAAAAATGCCATCTGTTGGTCTATTTTAATTGTTATAGTATAATTTTTAATTATATAAAATTAAAGCATACATCTTTATTCTTAAAGTGCTGTTAATGAATGCCTTCCCAGTGGAGCCTAGGAAATCTTATAGCATGTTTGTTTTAAATTTAATTTTTTTAGATGTGGATCTCTCTGATGTAGATGAGAAACAACCTTATGATTACAAATTTGTCAAATGGATGATAGCATCTAAGGTAAGGGCGTCTTTGTCATAGTCTAGTTTTAGAAATGCTTTTGTATTGAAAGCAAGAGCAGTGCAACCGTACTTATTAAATAATGTAGTAGAGATTCCATTCAAAATGTGACTCGGTGTGTGTAGTAACTGCTGATAATTATGTGGCTAAAATATTGGTAAATATGCTCAGAAAGCACCCTGTAGGTTTGTGCTTTTCTTTCAGCATGCTGAAATGCTAGAGGTACAGAAGTACCTTTGAAATGTTTTGCCTAAAAAATAATTTGAATGTAGTTAAGCCTAGCTAGTGTATACAAAACTGAACCTTGCCTCTCCCATGTTGGGAGAGGGAGTTGTAGAAATGAAATAGTGGAGTTGTCATGCTTAAACCAGATTTTATTTATTTTTTATATATACATTTCTAAAATAAGCAAATAATATTTCTGTTTTATCTTTCAGAAGCTGTCAGCAATCCCCCTTTCAGCATTCTGTGGTCCTGAGACAAAAAGGCAGTTTGAAAAATACATACGTTTTTGCTTCATTAAGGTAAAATTGTGTCCTGGGAAGACTTAAGACTCTTAAATATCAATGCAGTACAGAAATCTGCACGAGACTTACATTTTGCTCAGGATGTCCCGAGTTGGATGGTTTTAGGAACAGAAAGTCAGCTTGGTGTAAAATTCAGCACAAAGTAGCATCAACTACCTTTTTAAACCATAAAGGTGGGTGGCATGGCTAAGAAGGGTAACTGGCAGAAAACAATTTGGTTGGGTAGGCCTTTTTTAGCTTACTCTATTGATTTCCTCCCCCCCCGCCACCCACCCC